CTACCCTTATTTAGTTTCAATTTGCTTTCAGCCAAGAAACTTGCTGACCAACTTCACTGTTGTTTGATATTTTTCTCTGATTGTTGTTTTATTCAGGACCTTGCATCCTAGACAACGATTGGGAAGGGTAGGATGGTGCGTGGCTTGTACTACCTACTGCTTGACGAGATCTCCCCTAAAGCTCTCCAACAAGCCGTCTCTCGACTTTCTTGCAATTTAAATTTTTCTTCAGCTTTTGTAATCAACAAACTCACTGAGCATGAGTTATGGCACTATCGCTTAGGCTATATTTCAGATTCTAGACTCAGGCTTATAAAAGACCCGTTTGTAACTGCATCTTTAAACTTGAAGTCACAAACTTCTCTTCCTTGCTCCATCTGTTATTTGGCTAAGCAACACAAATCTTCTTTTTCCTTAAGTGAGCACAAATCAATTAATTTGTTTGAATTAATTCACTGTGACTTGTGGGGACCCTATTCTGTCACTTCACATGATGGTTCTTCATATTTCTTATCCATCATTGATGACTTGTCACGTAGTACATGGGTATACATGCTCAAACACAAATCAGATACTAAGAAATGCCTTGTGTCTTTTACCAACCTAGTTGAAAATCAGTTTAGAACCAGAATAAAAATACTTCGGAGTGACAATGGAACAGAGTTTCACCTTAATGATTTTTACTCCCACAAGGGAATCATTCATCAAAAAACGTGTGTCGAAACCCCACAACAAAACGGAGTTGCTGAAAGGAAAAATCAGCATTTGCTTAATATAGCATGAGCCTTATTGTTCCAATCTGGTGTTCCTGTCAAATTTTGGCCAAAATGTATCCTCACAGCTACTTACATCATAAATCACACTCCTACTCCATTATTGCACAACAAGAGCCCTTTTGAAATTTTGTTTGGCGTCAAGCCTCAATACAACCACATGAAAGTGTTTGGTTGTTTAGCTTTTGCTTCCACTCTCTCACAAGGCCGCAAGAAATTTGATCCTAGGAGCAGACCTTCCATTTTTATTGGTTATCCTTTCGGCGTCAAAGGTTACAAGTTTCTTGATTTACAATCTCACACCATCTTTATCTCTCGCAATGTCATTTTTCATGAAACGGTGTTCCCTCTTAAGTCTTCTACACCTATTCCTTTACATCAATCTTTCCCTAATCAACATGTTATCACAAATCCTATACCAGACAATTCTTCATTTTCTCTTCCTCCACCTACTTCTATTACCTCCATTCCGATTCCCCTGCACCTCACTCATTCGATTTCCCCATTTCTCACTCCAGTCCTACATCTTCTCCCCAAACAGAACCTTTACCTATTAGGCTTGATGAACCATCTCTTCGCAGATCATGTAGGACTAGAAATGCTCCTCAATATTTACAAGATTTTCATTGCAAGCAAGCTGTTGCTACAGAACCTGTACGAGCCACTTCCACCACTTCTTCTCTTTCACTGTCAAGGGTCAAGGGACAAACTTCAGGTACTATCTTTCCACTTTCACATACACTTTCATATCATAGATTGTCACCTAGTTATACAGCGTTTACTTCATCTATTTCTACTCATGTTGAACCTGTTAGCTACAATGAAGCTGTAAGGAGTCCCCATTGGGTTAAAGCTATGGATAATGAGTTGATGGCTCTTAAAATAAATAACACTTGGACACTCACTGATTTACCGCCTGGTAAGGAGGCAGTGGGTTGTAGGTGGGTTTACAAAATCAAATATCAGGCTGATGGCAGTGTCGAGAGATATAAAGCGAGGTTGGTAGCTAAGGGATTTACACAACAAGAAGGAATAGATTATCATGAAACATTTTCCCCCGTAGCTAAGTTGGTTACCATTAGATCTCTTTTGGCCATTGCAGCCATTAAGGGGTGGCACTTGTATCAATTCGATGTTAACAATGCCTTTTTCCATGGCGATTTAGATGAGGAAGTGTATATGAAGAGACCACCAGGCTACGCTAAAGGGGAACAAAAACAAGTTTACAGGTTGAATAAAAGTCTTTATGGCTTGAAACAAGCCTCGAGACAATGGTATGCAAAATTTTCCAGTCTATTGATTCAGTTTGGTTTTGTCCAATCAAAGGCAAATTACAGCCTCTTCACTCAAATTAAAGACTCTACATTCACTCCTCTCTTAGTTTATGTAGATGACATTATCGTGGCAAGTACTTCTATGGACTTTATTCATGCTTTACAAGCCTTTCTAAGTGATCAGTTTCAAATTAAAACACTTGGTGCTCTTAAATATTTTCTTAGCATAGAAGTGGCTCGATCAGATCAGGGAATACATATTTGTCAAGAAAATATGCTCTTGACATCCTAGCTGACTCGGGTGCCCTTGGTGTTAAGCCTTTGAAGCTTCCAATGGACCCTAATTTGAATCTGAGCAAAACCACAGGGGAGTCTCTTACAGATCCTTCTATGTATCGCAGGCTGGTAGGGCGTTTGCTCTATCTTACTATCACCAGACCGGACTTGAGTTATGCAGTCCACAACTTGAGTCAATTCATGGATTCACCAAGGCTTCCACATCTTCAAGCTGCGAACAACATTTTGCGCTATTTGAAGAATGCTCCTGGCCTAGGGATTTTATTTCCCTCTTCATCTTCACTGACTTTACAAGCCTTCTGTGATTCTAGTTGGCCTCATGTCCTGACTCTAGAAGATCAGTGACAAGTTATTGCATTCTCCTAGGACAGTCCTTAATCTCATGGCGCTCAAAGAAACAGACCATTGTATCTCGATCATCTGCAGAAGCCGAGTACAAAGCCATGGCTAGCACTTGTTGTGAGATCACTTGGCTAAAATATCTTCTTCTTGATCTCCAGATTCCTCATATTCAACCAGTTGTGTTACATTGCGACAACCAAGCTGCCTTACATATTGCAGCCAACCCGGTGTTTCATGAACGCACAAAACACATTGAATTGGACTATCATCTTGTACGAGATAAAATTCAAGAAGGCTCTATCATCACTAAACATGTTAGAACACAATTTCAACTTGCAGACTTGCTTACCAAAGCTTTACCTTCCTCTCTTCTCTTTGCTCATATGTCCAAGATGGGAATAGTTAACATCTATTCTCCATCTTGCGGAGGGCTCTTGCAGAATAAGAAATCCATCAAGCCCAACAGATACACAGACTCAGTAACAAATCTGTCATGTGGCCCATTTTCACCAGCAGTTGCCCATCTAAGTCCAGATATGCAAAAGACAATTTTTGATACACAAGACTAGCTATCTACTGCAATTATAACAGAATAGTGTGATGTGTAATTTTTTCTTTTGCTGCATGTATAGAGTTGGTTAGGTTGGAATATTCCTTTTCTCTCCTCTATGTGTATATAACGTAAGGTGCCTCCTGTGTATAATTAATTTTTTCAGTAAGTTGATAAATATAGAATGAGAATTTCTCTTCAATCATTTTTGTTCATTTCCTAATTCTGTGTTTTTACATTTCATCATTTTCCAAAATTTACAGATTTGGTATTTGTATTTCCTGCTTAACAATTACTACATTAAGGTGTTTATAAAAGTCATAAAAATCATTGAGATTTTGAGTCTCATAAAAAGTCTTGATTTAATAACTTGAATTTTTAAAGAATTTAAAAGGTCTATAAAAGTCCCAAATGAATACCACTATTACATATGATCTGTAATTTTTATCAACTTTTTAATCATATATTTAATCAGTTATTATTGAAATTTGTAGAAGTTTTTTATTTTGTCAAAAAATGAAATAGTTATCTTTTAGAAAAAAATGACGTGTCATTTTTATTTTAAAAGAAACGAAAAAAGAAAAGAAATCAAAAGCATCAAATTACCTGTTTGCAGTGATTGAAGAGCATTAATTGATTTCAGAAGAGAGAGAGATGAATAATGTCATTAATTCCTAACTGTCTCAAGACAAAAATTCGAAATTCGAACCATTTTAATTCTTATTCTCCATCTGAAGTCAAGAATCAGAATTTAATGAACAAAATCTGCGTGTCCAATTGCTTATGACGGTAATTTCAGCCATAAAATTTTTAAAGATTATTAAATTGCTAATTTCAAAATCTTTAAGCTGCCTTGTGTCAGAAATATATATATATATATATATATTTGGTTCCGAAAAAATATATTTTTAGTAATTTTAATAAATTGGTGAAATCTATGGTTAAAAAATTAATAAAAATTATGGATCCCGTAAAATATGCAAACAAAATGTTCATACACTCTATATATCTCTAAAATATAGAAATTGACACCCTCTCAACACTTAGCATGAAACATGTTCTAATAAAATTATACTTGCCTCATTATCTCTTCGCATACATACTACGAAACCCTAGTGAGAATTGTATTTTTCTCACTATAAAATAAATCTCATTTATCAAAAGATTCGTTGAATAAGGAGACGAGATAAAATTTATGTTCATCCTTATTAGCGTCAAATTCAATTCAGACAAAATCGATAACTCAATACTATATATGAGACAATTATCGGTAAATCATTCTATACATTAATGTACGATCATTGAATTGTCTCTTTAATATTTTACCAACTTATGTATCGATTTTTTCTACTAACTATGACTGAAACCTCGACTTAACTTCGAGGTAGACTAAAATACACTCAAAACAACATCCTTATTGAATCATCTCTCTAAAATTTCACGAATTTACATATCAAATGTCATATTAATTATGAATATGACGTATTAGGATATGCTCATTAATTTATTGCTCTCAAATTTCACTAACTTAATTCTTCCTATTAGGAATTAGGATAATTAATTTCATCAAACATATTATTTTGAGCATGTGTATACTTTCTTTTCTTCTTCTTCTTCTTTTTTTTTTTTCATTATTATTATTATTATTATTATTATTATTATTATTATTATTATTTTGGCAATTAATGTAAATTTCACAGGACAATGAAATTATAGAAGAATAACAAGATTAAAGCAACAAATTCTGGAAAATTAGCACACAAGTGTAATATTAATGTTTGTAGCCCTGAAATCAAGAAAACTAACAACAACAACAATAATGCAAGTTTTTCACTTTTTCGTATGATTGATTCTTGGCTTTTAATGCAGAGAGACCGGAACTTGCACCAAATAGTTTAGCTAAGAGGGTTCAACCGGAGTACGCATTCCATCGGCTGCCCCGGTAGCCTTCGATTGTTGAAACTGGCTCAACTGGCCAATACTTGCTGAAACATTCATGGCAAGAAGGTTACCGGCATCATAAGCATTTCCTCCATCAAATGACCTAATAACTTGTTGCTGATTACTAGGGAAGAACTGGTGGTGAAAAGGGTGGTCCCGGGATCCAACACCGCCGCCAATCAAGTTGATTCCCAAGTTCTGCTGGTGGTGGTGATTGGCGGCATTAGCAGCCGCGATGATGCCGTGGCCGGTTATACCTAGGTTCTGATACTTGGAAAGCTCGGATTTGGCACAGCTGAGGTCAATCTGAAGCTGGCGGAGCTGGTGTTGGAGGAGGGAAATGACTCCAACGCAACCGTATACCGGATCACGGAGGCGCATATCTGCTTCATAAGCTAGAGAATTCACTGCATCCTCCCGCTGGTGGGGTTGCAACTCATTGAGGAGTTTGGTGACGTTGCTGGCGCCGAATACTTTGTGCACGTTCGCGAATTTTTGCGGCTGATCTGGTGGGAAGTACGGGGCGAATACGCACTCTGGCTGGCATTTCCGGCGGAGGAACTTGCATGCTGCACATGGCGAGTTGGATGAGGACGCCATTAATAGTGCGCTTGTTAGCTTCTAAGTCTCTTTACTGATCTTGGAATTTGTTTTAAACCACCCTGAAATGCTAAGAGAAAGTGGACAAAACAAATGAAGAATAATATTAAGATAAATGAACCAAATTCAAGAAACTTGTGCCCTTCAAGGAATTGGGATCTGCATATCTAAATTCATAAAATTGTCTCGAAATTAAAAGGAAAAGTCAATAACAAATTGGAAGGAAAATATGGCATATATTCCAGATTTTACTTCTTGCTTGTACAGATTTTTCAAGGAGCCAATATTCTTTAACATTGAATGGAAATAGACGGGGTAAAGAAACTGAGATTTTAGAGCATCGTTTAACAGAAGTTAATGGTCCAACAAAATCATTGACATCTTTAAAGAAGCAAATTATGAAAAAATTGATTGAAATTTGAAAATATCATGTCCTTAATTACAAAAAGAACCTACCATGTATAATGAAATCAAGTTGATTTAACAGGTCATCAAGTGACAGATATTAACCAACTAAATCTGGAAAATGAAACGTATAAATCACCTACCCTCTACATATATGCGTCTCGCAGGATCTGTCAATCAATTAAAAGTTTCAAGACGGCTAATCATTATCAAATTTGAACTGTCAAACTAAAAAACACATAAATATAACAAATTTAAAAAGGAAACTGTGCTCATCTATTGACTGGTAAGAACCTAAAAAATGGGGTTTCTTTGGAGAGAGAGAGAGAGAGAGAGAGAGAGAGAGAGAGAGAGAGATTTAGGGTTCTTGAAAAATGAAAATGTAAGATTTTGTAGAAAGTTTAAGGGAAGGGATCTCGTCAAAGTCAAGGGTTGTTTCGTTTCATATTACACAATAGATAATCTTTCAAGCAGATCTTGCTTAAAATTCATCATTCATACACGTGAGTGGGTGAGAAAAAAAATCTTGAAAATGGAGAGAGATTACTTCATTTACATGTAAAACTAAGACTTTTGACATCTATACACAAAAAATAGGGGGAAAAAATGTAAACTATGTGGCGAACGTACGTACGTGTGAGTAAAAATACTAAAGAAATCAGAAAAATATACCAAAGTTTGTATAAAGAACTAGCTGTAATCCTCTTCTTCTTGAAAATTTACGTGCCTCGTTATCTGCGGTCAAATATATATTTTTCCTTTTGACAAAAAGATGAAACCAAGTTTGGATCTCGAAAAATAAAGACTTTTTTCCCTCAGTTTCCAGAGATTTTTTGTGGCCCTTTTTGCTCCCCTATGAGACAGAGAGAATTATCAGTTCTTTGCTGAAGTTTGCATAGTATCTTCCTTTTGTCTCCTTTATTCTATGGACAAATCACACAAAGGGACCTTTTTGCAGTGGCAATCTTTTAGCTTCCTTAGATAAAGAAGGTGCAAAGAAGGCGCCGCGAAAGAACAGGAAGACTCTTATCTCATGAAGAGATACGTACATATATATAAAGGGAGAGAGAGAAAGAGGATTAGAGGAAGTCCCCCAAGAGCAGAGGCTATGGAAACGCGGAGAAAGCAAAGAGAAAGTGAGTGTATGTATATGGGGATAGTGTAATATGTGTATATTAGTATATATCTCTATTGTGAGTGAATTATTTATGAGCAGTATGTGGTTGGGTATAATCACTACGTCTATTACAAATTCAGAGTGCAGAGATTGAGAGCGAGTTGTCTAGTGTCGTGACATGACACTTCCTATTCACCTTTTTCTCCATCAATAACATTATTACTTCTATTTTAGAGTTCGTGACAATTTTAATCTAAACAAAGAAATTGAATCTGCCACTTTATTTTAGCTGGAGATCAAATTAAAATCAAGTATCTAGTTTAATTGCTTCAACTTTTTAATCAAGTGAGTTAATATGGTATCATAGCCCAAAAACTAATTAGTTCAAAATCCTTACAATTACATGTATGAAAATTGTGCAAGCATCATACATTCTATAAAAAAAGTATACGACCACGAAACAAAGAGAGCATGTTTAAGATGAACTTTAAATAGAAGCCTTTAATTTCTATAGATTTTAACTTTTGAATTAGGTGACACATACATGCTTGTCCACATTCCTTTATCCATCTTAGTCATGGAGCCACCTTGTTGCCTCTCCCACACCATGTAATGGTTTCGCAACCTTCAACATGTGTGCAAGGCTGATCATGAAAATTTTGGGGTATTAGGCCAACTTAAAATTATAGGGCCATTGTAAATATTTAAGATAATATATAATAACTTTTAGTAAATAAAAATATTAAAAGTGTCAAAACAATAATCTAAAATTTTTAAATATCTAAAATAAATTTACTCTTCTAGAAATTTTTATATAGAAAATCGCCAATTATACTATTATATTCAATCTATTCTAAAATTTATTTGTCAATAGATACCATGGCCAATCCATTCCAATTTTCCTATAAAATTGTTGGAATATAGGATTTTATAAACTTCAACTTTAAGGAGCTTCTCTTAATACATGCAACCGTAACTAGTGTAGTCAATACTATTCCATCATTTCATATAGTTTAAACGTCAACCGCATTTATATCTCTTCTTGATAAACAATTTCTCACATTAGCAATTCAGATATAACTTCTACTAGATTGTTGTTTCCTTCTTCCTTAAATAACTTACAACAAAAGCCAAATACTTTATCCAAGAAAATTTAGTAGACTAATTAACCATTTTCTATCACTCTCACCATTTAATAAATGCCGATAGTAATATGAAGAAGAGAAATGATTTTTATTTATTTATTTTTGAATCTTTAGGGAATGTAGAAACATTCTCCTTAGGGAAACCTCTTTTAACTTAAAAAGTCTATCGAGTTTTGAATAATTGTTTTTCAATTTCCCGAATACTAATATCTAAATGCAAAGTTACACATTTTAAATTAATATCATACTGTTAATTTTTATTTTCTTCATCTCCAAATTTTCTTGCTCATGATTTACTAAATTTTCATTCTCTATTCACATTATCTTCATTTTGAACTTTCTCATTTTAAAATTCTTTATCAACTAACACTATCAAGAAACTTGTATACCCGAATGACCAATTTCCCCTAGGCGGGCCCCTTCCCCTAGATGGGACCCTTCATCAGCGAGAGACCCCCAATACTTTGACTACTATGATCAAGACATATTTTAGACTAAACAAATGACCTGATCTATGTACCACACTTTGGTTTACCCCTCGTTAGTACTCATGAGACATTTTCATTTACTCATTGCATGTATTTACTGCTTTCATTAACTTTGATATCGTTTTCGTACTATTATATTCACTTGATGTTAGGTCTATGCCTCTCCTTTTCTTTGCTTTTTCTTTATTATGATATAAAATAAGTCACACTAACGGCTTTTGCTTAAAAATATATATATTTTCAATACTCTTACTTGAGATTTATTAAACTCATCAGTTCTTTTTATTTTTTTTCCAAACTTAGACAAACACTTTCTAGCACACATATTAAAACAATCCAAAATCAGTACATGCCAAATTTTATATTAGTTGAGGAACAATGGAACTTGGCAAGAGATTTTCAATTAGATAGAAAAATATTTCATTTTAACTGCAAAATAATGAGTCTCTTAAGAAAATATTTTTCTTTAAAAATTATAGAATGATGAAATAATGAACTTGACCTGCAAAATATCGGGCCCTGCACCATGTTGCTAGTATCTGAATACCGTTGGATAAGAAATCGACTATTTGAATAGAACCTGACGAACCGACAAGATTTTTCTCAGCTTTGGTTTGGTGGGTCAATAAATTTTTTTCCAAAAAAGCTATTTATCAAGTTTTTGTATTGAGACATTTTTTTTTTTTTTTTTTTTGAAGAAAGTGATCAGCATCTGTACCTGTCGCTGATTGTGAACGTTGATTTGGTTGGGCCTTCGAGTATAAGAATGGCCGGAAGAGACAAGTTTTTCATATAAAAATTATACCACATACATATTATTTAAAAATATATATATATAATCAAACATTACTTTTAAACATTTTTTAATACCTAAAATACTGTAACTATATAATAAAAAAAAAAAAAATGAAATACCGATCAAATCATATAGGCTATTAACTTAGGCAACCCATTTTGCTCCATCAAACAAACCCCTTATCCATATATATCACGATCAAAATCCCTAAAATGGAGTCTCTTCACATTATGTACATCTAGTTCGTCTCGGTCAAAGATCCTTTCTCAAAAATCACCAGTTCCTTTCCTTAGATTCATCGTTTACATATTTCAAGCAACATATAATCCAAAGCAATATCCAATAAATCCTTTTCTTTGATTCTCTCCTTTTAGGGCTTTATCCATCGTAGGTGTAGATATCAATGTCCCCACTCAAATCAATATCCATCTGCTATAGTACATATTGAATCACAACATTCCGATCCAATATTTCAACGCCCAAAGCTGTTCTAAATTGTCTTCCAACAAGAACAAGAAAACAATCGAATCCACGCCTCTGATACAAAATAGCAAGTCTTTAGTATGGATACCGTAGAACCTTGATTCCACTCTCGTTATTGCAGCTCCGAAACACCGTTTGTCAATGGGTTCCGTCAAAACCCAGCAAGTAGGAAATTTTTCTCTAAGTCTCTGGAAGTTATTAAAATATCTTTGTATAATTGAAGCGTTAGGAATATGTTATTCTTATCAATTTACATAGATTTCCACCAGAATATTATCATATGTGTTGACACATAAAAATTCAGCCCAAATCGAACAGCCCAAAGAGTGAAGCCCAATTGGAGGATCCCCAAATCAGATAACCCAAAGAACAAAACCCAATCGAACAAATCAAGATGAAGGCCCAAATAAGGAGGCCCAAGAACGCGGTAACGCCATCACCCAAGTTTGCAAGTCGCCCAAAATCTGAGCGAATGGAGTGTCATACAGTCGCCCAGAGCTGTTACTTTATTCTCGCCCAAACCTTCAAGTCGCCCAAGGTCTTAACAAACATAAAGCATCGTGGTTATCAAGAAGTGCAGTTATCAAAGCAGTTATTAAAGCAGCCCTATCACGTTCCACGATTCAAGGATTTCAATTGAAAGCAGTTGAACGATGAAGAGTAATGACAGCAGTTAAAAAAGGCAATTTTCATGACAAGTTGGCCATTATGAGGAAAGTGGGCAGTTATAGGACGATCAAGCGGTTTTAGGGCGGTTGATCACAAAGAGATCGTCTGTGAAGTATAAAAGGGAGAAGAAAACATAGAGCAAAGGACCGAATCAAAAACTCTCGAACAGAGAACATGTAATTTTTATTTCCTTAGTTTTTAGACTTAAACACTTTTCTTTCAGTAACTCGTGTGCTTGCACCCCTTGGAGGCACGTTGTTTTTCATTCCCAATTGTAAAGTCATCGCCAATAAAAGAACACCCCTTTTTGGGACTTTGTTTCAAGAGGTTTTGTCCCTTACACAATCGTCTGATCCTTCTTAATTGTTAGCGAATAACCCGCGCAAAACAATTTGGCACGCCCAGTGGGACAGTGGTGTTATGTGTTGAAAGTACAAAAGGTGAAACAATATGCCTCAGAGATCCGATAAGGAAGCAGCAAGTCAGGGAGGAATCCAGTCTGTGATCGAGCGATATGAGGAGCAGCATGCCTCTCCATGAACAGATGGACAGAACCAGAGCAGTAACAGTCGTTACGAACCAATGATGGAGTTGAGTCCTCGAAACATGCGTGCATTACTTGGAGAACTCACGCAAGACGTCGTTGAACAGGTCAATCTTCGAAGTATTCATAATATGGAAAGATTTACACAAAATGGGAATGTACACTATGACAACATGGCCAAACAACTAAAGACGTTGAACGAAACAATGAATAAGTTAGTAGGCCAAATATGTCAACCGGCTATACCTCTTACAAACCACTTTCAAACTAGGACAATTATGGGACATAATCCCTCGGTCCTAAATTCGAATCAAGGGGTAGAACCGCTTTCTGGTCCCTCTACTTCAAACCAAGGGGGTACTACAGTGCCAAATCAGAACAATGGTAGTAGTATGTCTAACTTGGGGGGTAATCCAAACATAAGAGATAATGTCCTAAACAATGGACAGAATACCCCACGTGTTAATGAGGGAACAGATGTTCAGGCTAATGGTAATGGCCCTAATTATGGTAATTTTGTTGCCAATCAAGGACCAAACATCAGGCCTCATGCAAATCAACCAGTTAATCAGCCTGTAGGAATTCCATATGATCCCAATATCATGTTGAGGAACCAGATTATGGAAATCGTACAGGATCAGATGGCTTTTGGGGTACGTCCCGTCATTAGGCCGACGTACACAAAGCCATATCCTGATTGGGTAGACCAAGCATATCCATGGCTTAGAGGGTACAAAGTGCCAGAATTCTCACTGGTTACCGGTTTAGAAGAGGTGTCTACTCTAAAACACATAGGACGATTCACATTGCAAAGTGGTGATGTAACCGATTACCATAAAATGAAACTTTTCCCTAGTTCGTTAATAGGAGTAGCTTTCTCCTGACTCAT